CCGCGCGGTCCGGGGACGGGGGCAGGGCCCCAAACGTCCAAGTGCAGGGTCTGAAGGGGGGCAGTAGCAGGACGCAGCGAGGAGGAGTGAGGAGCACGGCGGAGCCGACCCTCGACGCAAGGCGTGCACGGTGGCGCAGTCGAGGGAGGAAGGGCAGGGAGCGACGCGGGGAGACCTAAGACAAGACCGTGCTGGGACATGTGACGCAGACGCGGGAGAGCAGGGTGACCTAAGCGGTGGTGCCAGAGAAGGGAGGGGTGAGTGAGGGACCGACACGAGCAAGCTGCAGCGACCTGGGAGGACGCACCAACCGGGGGGGAAGCGGTGTGTAGGGTAAACAGACCGGACACCGGGTCCCGGGGGAACGTCGCAAGGGGGGAACCTGAGACAGCCTCAGAACAGACAGCGAACCGCTCGTGCCCGGGGAACGTGGTGGTGACGCCGAGGTCCTGGAGACAGCCGACACCAACCAGGTTCCTGGAGAACGAGGGAACGTGGAGGCCAGTAAGGGAGCCCGAGGGAACTGCCGGACAGGGAAGGGACGTAGAACTGCGCGCGACGACCGGACCCGCAGAGGGGTCAGCGAGAGAGACAACAGCAGGTGCAGCAAGCGGCGTGAGCGTGGAACGGTCGCGGAAGAAGCAGGCAGAAGCACCAGAGTCGAGAGTGAAGGACAGCGACGCAGTGGCGGAGGCCGCGGACGGAGCCGGTGCAGCGACTAGACTAGGCAACCTAGGCAGTCCTACGCCTGTCGCAGCAGGGGAAGCTAAGCTACACAAGGGTGAAACACCTAAACTAGAGTACACAGGGTAGTAAGATCCATCAACACTAGAAGCGTCAGCATACAAAGCATGCAAAGCAGCACCTATCTGATCCATGTCTAACTCAAAGATCGGCACGCCCTGGCGGAGCAGGCTGTGCCAGTCAGGGAGGTCCGGGGCCGGGCCAAAGCGACGACGAAAAAGATCGTCGAGGCGGCGGAAACAGTGGGCGGTCGGGTGCGGGCGGCGGCACAGAGTGCCGCGGAGAGGCCCGGTCTGAAGCTGGTACTGGCAGGTCACAGCACTGGAGCCGCTGGTAGACGCCAAGCTGCGCGGGCCGCCACCACGGCCACCGCCTCCGGAGGTGCCGGGCCAACCAGGCGGGAGATGAGCCCACGGCTGCGGCGGGTGCTGCTGGGACGGCGGCTGCGGCTGGGGCTGGTCCTGCTGCTGCTGGGACTGCTGCTCCTGCCCACCGGTGGTAGTCCCCTCAGGCGGACTACCGTCACCACCACCACGACCACTACCACCTGCGTCACCACCCCTACCCCCCTGGCGGCCACGGCCACCGCGACGCGAGCGCTGCTGCGGGTGGACAGCAGCAGCCGTCTCAGTAAGAGGGGTCGCCGTGGCGACCGCAGCCGAAACGTCAGTGAACGTGCACGGGGATGGGGCACAACCGTGAAAGATAGAGACTGCCGGCGCACCGCTCGACTGAGCGATAGTGCGCTGGCGAGTCTCGATCTCAGTGAGGGTGTCGACAAAGGGGGTCAGGGTGAGGTCACCCGGGTGCTGGCTAAGAAAGTGGTCGCGAGCACTAGCGAGGCGGTCTGGCAGGCGCATAGCGATAAAATAGAGCGTCATGCAGAAAGGAGGGGGGAGCGCAGTGAGCTGGGCAGCAGTGCTGGCAGTGCGATAGCGAGTCTCTAGGGCACGCAAATGAGTGGCAAAATCTGCGACAGTAGGGAAGGCAGCCAGGTCTGGGAACAGCATCGGAAAGAGCAAGCGGCCAGCAGAAGCGGAGGCAGGGGTGGAATAGCGAGCAATAACGACTTCTAAATAAGCTTTGGCCGTTTCAACAGTAGCAAAACGCGAGCGCTCAGACACAGGGAGGGCGTGACTAATAGCAACCTGAGCTACTGCATCGCGTGAGTCCCAGACCGCACAGGCTAGCGCAGCAGTAGAGAAAGCCTCACGGTCATCAGAGGAGGGGTCAGCAGGGAGGGGAGTAGGTGCAGGGGGACGGGGGAGCAAGCCATCAGCATGGACAACCAGAGAGTGGCCATCCTGGCGCTGACCTGTAAGCTGGCGGCGAAGATCGGAGAGCCAGGCGGCGAAGTCAACCGCGTGGCCCTCAGCGTCCAGGCGGAGCACAAAGTCAGCCATCGTGCAGGGTCAGCGGCACAGCTCCTCAGCGACACAGCGGCACAGCAGCACAGCTCCTCAGCGGCACAGGAGCACAGCGGCGCGGGGACACGGCGGCAGCACTCTCCAGTAGGGCAGCAGCTAGGCGTCCCAGCGCAGGCAAGCAGAAGACACAGGGCCCGAGAGGACACGGCAGGCCGAGCAGGGGAGGCGGGCAGGTGCTATAGGGCCGGGCTGGTGCTGGGAGGGGCCAGGCTGGTGCTGCTGGGGCCGGTCGGGCACGAGGAGGGGCCGGGCAGCGCTGAGGAGAGGCCGGGCGGCGCTAGGAAGGGGCCGGGCGGCACTAGGAGGAGGCCGGGCGGCACTAGGAGGAGCCCGGGCGGCACTAGGAGGAGGCCGAGCGGCACTAGGAGGAGGCCAGGCGGGCGAGCGCTAACAGCAGGCGCGACAGGGGCCAGCGGGCGCGACGGGGCCTAAGGGGCGCGACGGGGCCCAGCGGGCACGACGGGGCCCAGGGGGGGCGCGACGGGGCCGAGGAGGCGCGACGGGGACCAGCGGGCACGACGGGGCCCAGGGGGGCCGCGACGGGGCCTAACGGGCGCGACGGGGCCCAGGGGGGGCGCGACGGGGCCTAGCAGGCGCGACGGGGCCTAGGAAGCGCGAAGGGACCCAGCGGGCGCGACGGGGCCTAGGAGGGGCGCGACGGGGCCGAACGGGCGCGACGGGGCCCAGTGGGGGGGGACGCGACGGGGCTTAGGAGGCGCGACGATGCCTAGGAGGCACGACGGGGCTCAGCGGGCTCGACGGGGCCCATGGGGGGCGCGACGGGGCCTAGGAGGCGCAACGGGGCCCAGCGGGGGCGCGTTAGGGCCTAGGGGTCGCGACGGGACCCAGCGGGCGCGACGGGGCCCAGGGGGAGCGCGACGGGGCCTAGGAGGCGCGACGGGGCCCAGCGGGCACGACGGGGCCCAGGGGGGGCGCGACGGGGCCTAACGAGCGCGACGGGGCCCAGGGGGGGCGCGACGGGGCCTAGGGGGCGCGACGGGGCCTAGGAGGCGCGACGGGCGGAAGCGGTAGGCGGGGGGATCCTAACCTAAGCGTGATACCATGTTAACGTAGAAACGAATGATTACTAGAGGTGGAAACCTAGAACAAATACTAGTTGGTTGTACTCACTAGAAGCATACCTCAGTCTAGCCTATAACTTCTATATAGATAATATGTATAAGTTGACAGACTTGCCCTCCTGCATGAATTCTTTCCAGGGTATTTATCTCCCGGGTAACCAACATTCAAGGTGATGACGTCAGCAGTCACCTACGTGGCTTCACGGTAACCATCAGATCGACTTTGTCCCAGCGTGGTACCAATTATCCCTACATGGTACCAATTTGTACTCGGCAGATTCCCTACCTGGTAGCCGTTAGTTTCAACGTTTCCGAACTGCCCCCACGTGTATCGTACACGCCCTTGCGAAAGTCGCGAAGAAGAACATCTGGTACAGAGTATTTCGCAGGTGCGCTTAGGCTGAAATGTTACGCCACACATATCATAATCAATCTCATATAACAGTCTCATTATGTATACCATGGATTTTTAGTATTTTAGTAGTTTTGTTACATTTTTTATTCAATGAAAACATTATTACCTTAAATAAATGAATTAGATGCTATGAATATGTAGTTTTCATCCGTACTATTAATATAATGTGTCAAGCAATGTTGAGTAGTTTCTAGTGTTCATAGGTTCTCATTCATGATGAGTGTAAGAATTTCATAAATCATTAATGGGTGCGGCTGAGGCTGAGGACGCGCACAGTTCCCGATACTCGCTGTGGCGAAACCCATTAATGATTCATGAAATTCTTACACTCATCATGAAAGAGAACCTATGAACACTAGAAACTACTAGACATTGGTTTGGTTGACACATTATATTAATAGTACGCATGGAAACTACACATTCATAATATCTAATCCATTTATTTAAAATAATCATTTTCCATGGAATCAAAAATGTAACAAAACTACTAAAAAACGAAAAATCCATGATATACATAATGTGACTGTTAGATGAGATTAATTATGATATGTGTGGCGTAACATTTCAGCCTAAGCGCACCTGCGAAATACTCTGTACCAGAAGTTCTTCTTCGCGACTTTCGCAAGGGCGTGTACGATACACGTGGGGGCAGTTCGGAAACGTTGAAACTAACGGTTACCAGGTAGGGAATCTGCCGAGTACAAATTGGTACCATGTAGGGATAATTGGTACCACGCTGGGACGAAGTCGATCTGATGGTTACCGTGAAGCCACGTAGCTGACTGCTGACGTCATCACCTCAGATGTTGGTTACCCGGGAGATAAATACCCTTCTTTCCATGAGCGCCATTCCCATCTGGCAGCTGAGAGTCGATTCTGCACCTCGGGTATGACCCGAGATTGACCCGCGATCGAAGGAGCTGCGGGGTTTAGAGGCTCAACCTGGGGTCTAGTGACTATGACGGTAGAGCGCCTACAGAGGTGCAGAAAGTCGCAAAACGAGTTGACGATGTACAGCAAACCGCGCAGAGTTGTCGCATAAGCGAATAGGGAGGTCTACACCGGCGGGCGATTCAATTGCGCCAGTTAGAGTCCGGTAGGTTTGTCTGCGAACGGTGTGTTTCCAGTCAAGCAGCCGTCAGGAGTCGTGAGACCCGAGGCAGTTTTTTTCCACCTCGGGTGTTCCCGCATGACGCTAGTGTCAGACACGAGCTCCAGAATTTACTCTTATCTTCTATCTTGAACGAGGCCGGACTATTACCCCCACGGGCTCCGCAGCCGAGCAGATTTATCCACCTTGTTTCTCTGCTGGGGTGGCCAATGTTCCGATCCGAATCCCTTGTGCTGGTGGTTCGCCATGGCTTTGGTTGAAGTTTCCTCACTCTTGTGCTCGTGTGGCCACTCGCCGCAATTCAGCACGGAATAGGCTGGTGCGCGCCAGTGGCGAATTGTTGGCGAGATAAGGTGGGCTGCTATCGAGCATGCGCGCTCAACTCACGCCCATTCTTCACATCGAATCTACCTCAGCGATCCGTAGCACTTCCACTTACCGCAAAGGTTTATCCGCGATAGTAAGTAGCGCTAGGCGACCGGTGATAATTGGCGTACCGCGACACGTGTCAGCGTGCGTGAGAGACCGGAAGCAGCGAGTGGTGTGCGAGATGTCGGACGCGTTGGTCAACGGCTTGGCGGGGGCGTGTGGCGGCATCCTCGCGCAGCTCGTCACGTACCCGCTGCAAGCCGTGCGTTTCTCGAACCTTCGCCTGCGGTTTACTCGGTCTCGCGGGCTGCATCCGCGTCGTTTAACGCCCTAGGGCGCCGTAGCGTCGCTTCCTCTCTTTCCGCGCCGATTGTCATGCCCTGGCTCTGCTTTGCCTATTTTTGAGGCGCCTCAAAAATAGACCCCTGGCTCTGCTTTGCCTGGCGTTTCAAGCGAAGCGAGTGTGAACTCTCTGGTTCGTGCGATCCGTGCGTGTGACGTGCAGGTGAACACGCGGCAGCAGACGCAGCGACGGCTGCTGGCGAGGGAGCAGCGGGACGGAGAGCATGGCGCCGGCGAATGCGCCGCTTCCGGCGCGGAAGGTGCTGCTAGCGGCAAGGGCGCGGCGAGGGCGGGGCAACGGCGCGCTCCAAGACCCAAGAGCACTCAGCAGGAGATGTGGGAGGTGACTTGCGCGCATTACGGGGAGGAAGTTCCCGACGGCAGATTCCCCCCCCCCCTTCCCCCCCTCCCCCCCCCCCCCGCATGCGCTAACCCCCTTCCGCGCGCCTCCTTGCGTACCTGTGATGACTCGTAGAGAGCACCGAATGCCGCTGGCCTCGCCGCTCGCATCTGCTCACTCTCCCCCTCGCTGCTCTGCTCTCCCCCTCCTCCCCCCCTCTTCCCCCATGGCTGTGCTACGCGCGCAGATATTCCAGCGCGAGGGCGTGGCGGGCCTGTACCGAGGGCTGGAGCCGTCTCTCGTCGGCACCGCGTGCTCTCAGGTGCGCCCCCTCCCTCCCGCGCCCGCTCCCTCTCCATCCGCCGCCACTCCCCTCCTCGTCAGCCTCTCACGCCTCCTGCTTGCTCTGCCCCTCACCTGCCAGCCACAAACCTTGCTCCGACCTGTGTGTGTGCATCTCTCTCCCCCTTCCTTTCCCTCCCCACCGTGCGAGCAGGGCGTGTACTACTTCGTGTATCAGCTGTTCCGCAGCCACGTGGAGCAGTTGGCAGCGGTGCGCAAGGCACAGGGGGTGGGCAACGGCCAGGTCACCATGATCACATCGCTGCTCGTCGCGGCCCTCGCGGGGTGAGCCTCCTGCTGCTGCTGCTGCTGCTGCTGCTGCTGCTGTTGCGGCTGCTTCCTCCTGTTGTTTTGTCTTGCGATGCTCTCACTGCTCTCATGCGCACACAGAGCGCATGCTGACTTTCTTGTTAAACATCCCCCTGTGGCTTCTCCCCGACACTTGTGTGTGTGTGTGTGAGTCCCTACAGGTCGGTGAACGTGCTGCTGACTAACCCCATTTGGGTCATCGTAACGCGCATGCAGGTACGCTGCCCGCTCCCCCCTTCCTCGCATCACATGCACTAATTCCTTCCGTTGTGCATCCCCCCTTGAGCATCCCTCACCCGCTCCTCCCAAGACGCGAAAGAATTCTGCCGCTGTTCCCTCTCCTCTCTCCTCTTTTGCTTTCCACACTCCACCCCTCACCCCCCCCTTTTCATCCCCATTTTTGAGGCGCCTCAAAAATAGACCCCCCCCTTTTCATCCCCACTCACACTCCCCGTGTCCCTTGCCGCACACCAGACGCAGACCCAGGGTCTGCCTCCGCCCATCTACATTGCTCGCCGCACTCCCTCCTCCTCGCCCCCGAATTCCACGCCACCCACATATGCTGCTGCTGCCGCTGGTACTACAGGCACTGCGGGTGAGGGGAAGCAAGCAGAGGCACAGCGGTCAGAGGGAGTGGGTGGGGCGGGAGGGAAGCTGGACGGGGGGAGCACAGCAGCAGGGGAAGGCAGGGGTGCGGGGGGTGTTGTGGCGGGAGTAGGCTCAGGCACTTGTGCTGTCACCGGCGGTGGTGGCAGTGGCAGTGGTGAGGGGGGGGAGGATCAAGTGGAGGAGGGGGGGATGGGGGAAAGGGCGGTGGCAGAGGCAGAGGGAAGGGCGGAGGGGGGGAGGGAGGTGGGGCGAGGAGGGGAGTGGGGAGGGGCCGTTGCAGGCGCCGGGGGATGGCAGGCAGCAGCTGATAGGGCGGCCGCACGGCGTGCTAGAGACGGTGAGTGACAGGGGCATACGAGGGGAGGACGGAGGGGGGGAGGGAGGTGTTGGTGATGGGGGGGACACAGGTGGATGGGAGGCAGGGCATGGCTCTTTTGGCCTGCTTGTCGCCTCGTATGCTGTCTGCCGTGCTCTGTGTTTCTAAGCGTGCGAGCTTGCTCATGTGTGTGTGCATGTGTGTCTGCCTGGCAGATATGGGAGCTGTTTGAAGAAGCAGGTATCCTGGGATTCTGGAAGGGGGTCTTTCCAACCCTCCTCATGGCAAGTCTATCGCTTACCCTCTCTCTACTGATCTACCCCCTCTCTCCCGGCTGCTCCCCTCTTTTCTCTTATTCACGCTTTCTCCATCCACCGAGCACATTCCAGCTCAATCCAGCCCCACTCCCTTGCACCCCTGCACGTCCCCCACCATGTGTGACATGCATGGCATGTGTGTGTGTGTGTGTGTGTGTGTGTGTGTGTGTGTGTGTGTGTATGTGTGTGTGTGTGTGTGTGTCTGTGTGTGTGTGTGTGTGTTTTCCCCCTTCCCCAGGTGGCCAACCCCGCCATCCAGTTTATGATCTACGAGACGCTGCTGGCGCGCATCACGGCTGCCCGCCCCGCTGCCAGGGGAGGGGCCAAATCCGCCACCTCCACGGAGGTACGTGCTGCTCCTTGCTGCACCCTGCTGCTCCCTGGTTTGAGGAGTGTGTGGCAGCGGGCGCAGTGGTGTGTGAGGGTGATGAGAATGGCATGCAACTTGTGTTGTGCCTGCTGCATAAGGAGTCTATTTTTGAGGCGCCTCAAAAATAGCGTGAAGAGTCTATTTTTGAGGAGCCTAAAAAAAAGCGTGAGGAGTCTATTTTTTAGGCGCCTCAAAAATAGACTCCTCACGAATGGCATGGAACTTGTGTTGTGCCTGCTGCATAGTAGGGATTGAGCCAAGCACCTGCCTCTGAATGGTGTGTGCGTCCAAGCCTTTCGTATTTCCCTGCTCCTGCTGTGCCCCCTGTGGGCAGATCTTTCTGGTGGGCGCACTGGCCAAGATAGGAGCAACGCTGGCCACATACCCCATGCTCGTCGTCAAGGTGAGAGGGGGGCAGCGCGACAGCGCACAGGGTGCGACACGGTGTGTGTGATGCAGTGAGGGACGTAAGGGTGAGGGTGGGGTCCAAGGTCCAGACACGATCGAGAATCTGCGGAGGTGATGGGGGCGATGGGGGTGATGGGGGCGATGGGGTGATGGGGGCGATGGGGGTGACGGGGGCGATGGGGGTGATGATGGGGGTGGTGATGGGGGTGGTGATGGGGGTGGTGATGGGGGTGGTGATGGGGGTGGTGATGGGGGTGGTGATGGGGGGGGGTATTTGGGGGAGGTGATGGGGGTGATGGGGGGGATGGGGAGACACAGGTACCGGAGGTGTCTCCTTCTGTCTCTGAATCGCTTTGTCGTTTGAGAGCTCTAACGTGTTGCCCTGCTTCTCTTTCTCTCTTCCTCTTGATGACTGCCTCACTCACTCCCTCCCTTGTCGGGTGTCCTCGCACCCCACCCACCCTCCCCTCCCGCTTCCTCATGCAGTCTCGCTTGCAAGCGCGCCACACGGCAGGGCAGCGCTACTCAGGTACCTGAGTCGCTCCGCTGCTCTCACATGCACCACACTTGCCTTGCCACCACTAGCTCCGCTACTCACCTCTGCTCCTTCTCTTCTTTTGTTGTCCTCCACTTCCCATTCTTTCTCTCAATCCCCCCCCCTCCCCCAACCCTGTCATCAACATCCGTCATCAACATCACCACCTCACTCACAACCCCCCCCCCCCCCCCCCCCCCCCCCCCCCTTCCTCTTCCCCTCCTCCCTCCGCGCCCCCCGAACCGTGTGGGCCAGGCATGTTGGACGCGATATTCAAGATAGTGCGGCAGGAGGGCATGCTGGGGTTCTACCATGGCATGGGCACGAAGATGGCGCAGAGTGTGTTCGCGGCATCGCTGCTCTTCCTCACCAAGGAGGAGATCGTCAAGGCCGTGCGCCTCCTCCTCGACCGCCGCGCGCGCCTCCTGCTGCACCCCGCCCACAGGCGCACCACCGCCTTATGAACGCAGGGGCGAGGGGGGTGGGGGGAGGGGGGGGATAGGAAGGTAGGGTGGTTGGGTTGTGGAGGTGGAAGGGGGGGTGTGGTTGAGCGGGTGAGGTGGGAGAGGTGATGGGGTTAGGAGGAGATGGGAGTGATGAGAAGCGGTGACAAGGAGTGCTGGTGGTGGTAGGGGAGGCAAGTGAGAGGAAGGAAGGTGCAAGTGATGCCGCCGCCGAGGCATGCGATGCGACGGGCACTTGCTTGCTGGGATGTTGTCATCCGCCCGTCATGCTGCTTGTGCGACACACACTCCATCACCATGCCTGACAGTGAGGACAGGCACAGGTGAAAGGATCTGGATTTGTACATTCTTTGTAACACCTCTTTCCATGTAAATGGTGTGTGTTGCCCTCATTTGTGCTTGTTGATTCCCGCTGCGGAGGTGTGTTGTGTTCTCCAGCTGTCTCTGAAGTGTATGCTTAGGTGAGATGGTCAGGAACGCATCCCGGTGGATGGAAGACCAACAGACGATGACTGGGATGGGATGCTTGGGTTAACCACGTGAATGCTCTTGGAACCATGAGAGTTAGTCTAGACGCATGAGACCAGCTGTAGCACCGGTACCGGTACCTCGGATGGATGTAGGCCTTCTCCCCTATTGGTAGCCCTTGTGTCAGTCTACAGTGTATCCGTTGAAATGCACTTGACACATGATCTGTCGAAGCAGCAGATGTTGGAAGCAAACCTTGAGATGCGTTAAACGTGAGTTCCAACTGGAAAAAAATCCATAACATACCCAAGCCAAGCCGTAGTCCTGCTGGGTACAGGCTTGAACTAGGTAAAATAATAGAAGGGGGGCAAGAAGGCTAGCAGCAAACATCAATTAGTGCGTGCGTGGAAGCCATAGAGTGAGAAGGTGCTGGGAGTCCGAGCAGGCCCGGCATCCTGAGCAGCAAAATAATGTGGGAGTCAGATGAGCAAGAACTCCTGCACATGGGAAGGTGTGCTGGGAGAGCGAGCACGCCCTGCATCCTATTCTGCTGGTGCCAAGCGGCGCCATCACTCCCATAGGTTGTGGTTGGACGTTGCTGGTCCGGTTGGTTCCGACCAGGTAACCCTCCCCTGCCGCTGAATATGCTTATTGCCAGTGCTTAACGCTAGCCACTAACCATCTCCAGGCGCCCCATCCCGTGGGCCAGTGAGCCGCATCCGCTTGTGCCATGCACCGCCCTCCGCCACCTCATCCCCCTCCACACCTCCCACTCCCCTGCGCCACCCCTCACGGTCGGCTGCACTGCCACCCACTGCTGGCTTGGGTGCGGGGCTGAGCTTGAGCGTGGCAGTGCGTGCTTCGGGCTCAGCGTCCCTGTCCATCATGCTGTGCGCATCACGGCTGGATTGAAGCGTGGGCACTCGCTTCTTGGACAGTGATGTGTCTGTTACCCCCCTGCCTCTGCCACCGCTGCTGCTGCCCCGCTCCTCCCACTGCTCCTGCTCCATCTTCACCTCCCTACCTCCTGCTGCCGCTGAGCGCCTCTCCTCCCTGTCATGGCCCAGCACCTGTAGCCCTTTCTCCCCCCCCTCTTGCCCTGACTCATCCTGCAGCGATAGGAATGACTCAACCTGGCGCAACTCCGCTTCCTCTGCAGCAGCTGCTGCTGCTGCTGCTGCTGCTGCTGCGGCGGCGGCGGCTGTGGCGGCTGCCACTGCTGCAGCGTCATCAGCTGCTGCTGCCCTCTCCACATGCACCACGCCTCGAGGCCTCCCACTGCCTCCATCTTGATCCATCGGTGCAACTGGCGGTGCCTTGCTGCTCTCCTTCCCACCACCCCATGCTCGTGCAGCAACACTGGGCTTCACTTGGCTACCCTCTTCCATCTTGGGTAGACAGCCCGGGCCTCTCAGCAGGAAGCGAGAGGTGGCAGCAGTGGGGGCGCGCAAGGGGGTAGCAGGCAGGCGGAACTGGTGGGGTGTAGGGGGCAGCCTCAGGGGCTCTCTGCCACCCATAGGCGCAGGAACCCCAGATGCTACCTGGGCGGCTGGGGCAGCGTTGGAATGGTGAGCATTGGACAAGGCGGGCTTGGTGGAGGTGGAATCTGGGTGCAGCCTGGACGGTGCAAGAGGGGAGGCAGCAGCAGGGGGGGGCAGGCGGTCGTGTGCAGGCAGGGCTTGGGGATGCGAGTGAGCCGGCGTGGCGGACATGGTGGGCGATGGGCTTGCATGGTCCGACAGGTGTGACAGGTCCAAGCTGAAGGGCGCAATGCAGGGGAGAGAGGCGGAGGGACAGAGGCAGGGCGTGCTATATTAGAGACAAGGCAACAACAACGTGAAGACGACACTAGGGCAGTGGGCTGGGCAAATGCAGCAGCACGTATTGGCTACAGATGGCATGGCAGCGTATGCAGCGTTGCAGCGGCATGAGCAGGAGTGCAGCAGCAAGTCGGCGCAGCAAGCTTCGCTTACGCTGAGGGGATGCGATCGGGGGGAACGCGAGAGGAGTCCACGGGGGACGGCGAGAAGGGCAGGCTGCGGCGAGTGGTTGACGAGTGCAGCGGCGACGGGCAGGGCGGCAGCCAGCGAGAGGGTGTGGCGGCGGGGGAAGGGGAGAGCGTGCGCAGCGCGCGGTCGTGACTGCGGTCCGCGTCAGAGAGGAGTGCTGTCACGTCTGCCCACAGGAGGAAACAGGGGCGAGAGGACGGTGGGGGAGAGCGTTAGTGCGAGAGGCGGGAAGACGAGGAAAGAAAGAGAGGAAATAAGAGAGGACAGTGTCACACAGGAAGTTCAAGAGGCGCACAGAGGAAGCAGAGAATACAGAGGACCAATTGAGGAAGCAAGGAAGGGCTTAGGAGCAGACCTGTGCTGCGGCCATGGGGATTCTGACACGATGCACATCTGCAGCCTGCCGTGCAGCCCACTCCAGCCTGCACCCATACAGCAGGGGATAGAGTGAAGAGTCGGTCATGAGAACCAGTGATAGCACAGGCGAAGAAGGAAGACTGGAGCACACACAGGGTTGCTTGAGGCATGGCTGAGACAATACGAGTAGTCCAACGGACAAGCAGAATGACCTGTACGAGCAGGTAGAGAGACAGGAGAGGAGGCAGGTCCTAGCCGCCAAGGGGAGGGGCGGGCAGTCACCTGGAAGCACTCGCAGTACTTCTTGGTGCACATGGAGCGGCGGCAGTTGCACCCCGTCTTGTGCCGCGGTGCCTTGGGAGGCGCTGCTGGCAGTGGTGATGCGGCAGAGGCCTGGCATGGCAGGGAGCGATTGCAAGGCAAAGAGGTTGAGCAACCCGGGGCAGACAGGCAGCATGGGAGTGATAGCGAGGAAAAGGCAGGAGTGCGGCCAGCAGAGAAGGGGGGGAGTAAAACGACTGGAGGAAAGAGAGAGGGGAGGGCGAGAGGGGTGCTAGAGCACCAACCTTGGCTCGTGAGAAGGATGAAGCGGGGCCAACAGTGGGCGCGGTGATGATTTTGGGCTGGAAAGCCGTGGGGTTGCGAGCCTGAATGGCTGCTCTTGTTTCGAGCACGAGGGACTCATACTGAGGCGTGTTCTGGCACTCGTTGCAACGGCACGCGTCCCCACAGTACACATTGGCGCGGAAGCACTCGCAGTAGCTGGCACGGTAAAAGAGATGAGAGCAAGGAGATGAGGGAGCAAGAGTGAGCAAGAGTGAGCAAGAGTGAGCAAGAGTGAGCAAGAGTGAGCAAGAGTGAGCAAGAGTGAGCAAGAGTGAGCAAGAGTGAGCAAGAGTGAGCAAGAGGGAGCAAGAGTGAGCAAGAGTGAGCAAGAGTGAGCAAGAGTGAGCAAGAGTGAGCAAGAGTGAGCAAGAGTGAGCAAGAGTGAGCAAGAGTGAGCAAGAGTGAGCAAGAGTGAGCAAGAGTGAGCATGACGGTCGTGGTGCGGAACTGGAAGCAGAAGCAGCAGCAGAGAAGTGGAGGGGCAGCGGAGAGCGGGCTCACAGTTTGAGGCAGCGAGACTTCTTGCAGCTACAGCGCCTGCAGCCGTCGCTGGGAGGTGGAGTGGCGGACGCACTGCGAACACGGTGAAAAGCAGGGGAACAGGATTGGCGTCACGGGCAGTTGCACTGGGATTGGAAAAGAGAGAGACGGAAGAGAGAGAGAGCAGGAGTGGAAAAAGGCAACATACCTGATGGAAACGTGGTGGCTGCTTCCTTGAACGAGCGAGCCCTCATCGCTCTCAGACACGTCCCCGGTGGACGCACTCGCATACTCCACCCCCGTCGCCACTCCACCGCCCTCCTCCGCCCCCCCAAGTGCACCTGCCCACCGCCCCTGCACCTGCTGCCGTGCTGCGTGCCCCGCAGCCCCCTCGCCGCTATTCATTCGCCGCATTCGCATGTCCACCTGCGCACCTCTGCCTCCGCCACCGCCCGCCCCTGCCTCCGCCGCTGCTGCCGCGTCGCCATCATGCGCAATGCTGGTCGGCACGTTGGCGGGCATTTCGGAGTGAGAGTGCGAGAGATGGCTGCCTCCGGAAGGGCACTGCTGCGCGCGCGCCTCCGCCGTCCTACCATCCGCGCAGACAGCTTCAGCATCAACGCCCTCGTGCGCCTCCACCACGCCAACCCCCAAAGCCTCGTCCTTCAGCTCGTCCTTTAGCCGCCCCTGCGCGCCCTCCGCTGCGCAACCCTGCTCTCGCTCCCCGTCCTGCTGCACCTGGCGCGTGCTGTATCTTGACGGCGTGGCGTCAGTATGCGCTGGGGGCAGCTGCCAGGAGGCGTCACCGGGAGCATTGGCAAGGGTGAGGCCGAGCGCGTGGTGGGAAGCCGCATGATGGCCGCTGACCGCTGGCACACCCGTAGCAGTGACGAGGGTGCTGTGGGCGCCATGGGGACTGGCGCCCCTCGCACTGCCTCCCGCGCCAGCGCCATAAGGCACGTCTTCTAAGTGCTCGAGGTCGGCCGTCTTAACCAGCGTCAGTGACTCATTGGCCGCCGCACCTTGGAGGTTGCCGCCAGCGGCAGCGGACGGTGCTGCCGCATAAGGAGTCCGCAACAGTGAGCCTGCAAACCGCCCCTCGAGTCCCCTCGGCGTCACGACCTCTTTTGCGTTGCCAGCAGGGCCAGCGCCCACTAGCGCCGTGAACCCACGAGGCCGGTCGAGGAACGACCTGCCCCGCTCCACGCCTTCCTGCATGGCACGCAGCCGCTCCGTGGGGTCGCCAGCGGCCAGAACATCGGGAAGCTCCGCGAAGCCCAGATGCCCCTCGTCCATGCCCACGCCCAAACCCAAACCCAGCCCCATACCCATGCCCATACCCATGCCCATGCCCATGCCCATGCCCATAGGGCTCAGACCCATTCCCGGCGACGCCAGCGCGCCAGGCGAGCCAAGCTCCCACATGCGCCGCACGGAGCCCTCGCTCATGGGGCTGGAGTCGAGCCCCGTGCCGTCCACGCCTCGGTGCGACTGGGGGAACAGCGACGTGCGCAACGGGGTGCTGCGCTTGCCATCGGGCGACTGCCACGCCGCAATGCCCGCAGACGTTGCTTTGGCTGGCGACTCGCCGAAGCCCTCGATCAGCATGCGCGCCTTCTTAGGCGACTGCCATACTTCAAATGCCCCCGCGCGATCCCTCGCACTGCGGAACGGCCTGCAGCCGCTCTCACCAGCCCCGCTTTCCGCTGCTCCTCGCCCAGACCTGCCAGTCCCAATGTCGTCCCCCACCTCATCATGCTTCTTCTCTCCGCGCCCATCCGTACCCTCTGTCGTCTGTCGGGGCAGCTCGGCGTCGCCCAACGAGCCTCGTGGGCACTCCTCACCCGTTGCCGTTAGAGTTATGGAACCGTGTTCCACGGCCTCGTCAGCTGCCCCGCCGTGCTCCGACTCACCCTCCTCTTCCAGTTGCTCCTCTGCCGTCAGCTCGCCCGCGTGGGCTGGCTGGGCATCGCTCAACGGGCTCACACGGGAGGGACTGTCGCCTTCTCTCTCACATCCTGAGCTATCACGCGCCGGAGAGGCAGCATCGTCGATGGGAGCAACGGACGGCGCCAAGGTGAGAAACTTATCCTGGCCTTCTGCCGCTTGAGTCGATGCAGACCCTGGTGTAGACGACGGATGGCGTGGCGTCAACGGGCTTGACGTGGCAATGCCAGAATCACGGGGAACGTCCTTCAGCGGCTGCACCCAAACGGATAATCGGGAGCCGACAGGCGCCGCTACGTTGAGCCCAGACGCATCGCGGGCTGTTTCGGGTGAAGGGCGAACGCTGTCGACTGGTTGGGGTTTGGAGAAGGGCAGTGAGAGCGAGCGCCGTGGGGAGAGGCTGAGGACGTCGGAGTCTGCCAAGGACTTGCGGTCCAGGGGCGACGCCGGAACCTTGGGCGCGTCCACACCGCCCAGGGGAGTCAGTTGCGGGGTCGTGGAACCAGGAGAAAAGCTCGTGAGCTTCCGGGGGGTCCTGGGGAATCACAGCAGATGAGAGTGAGATCCCCGCCCCCTAAAAAAAGGGAAAAAAGGTAGAAACCGGAAAAATACGGGACAGAGCTCCGTGCGTACCGTCGCATGCGGCCTCTGCCGCGAGGACGTGTGGGGGATTGAAACATGGGAGGAGGCGAGCGAGTGGCATCTTGTAAGGCGGCATCTCGCACTGCCTTGGCTTGCTGGATCGGAGAGAGCGCGTCCGCGAACTTTGAGAAGGGCGAACTCTGCCAACGGAAAGAACGGGAACATACAACGGGAATTGATGGACACTTAAAAAAGCGTCCCCGCAGAAACGAATGCAAGTGCGATTCGCATCGAAGCATTAGGCCGCATCTTTGCCAAGTTTTCTGCGGAACGTAAGCTTTCAAGAGACCCATCAGGAACTGATCTGGCGACACTGCGGAACTGCAACACGTGCACACGACATGATGGTTCGGGAAACTCCACTTCTGCTGAGTTGGATGAACCAAGAACACATCAGAATTGTGGGAGATTTCTCTAACCCAACCGCGCAAGATACCACGCACAGGCAGATCACGCGCACTGTGAAGACTAGGACCCAGTGTTGATTATGTTTGCATGGCTAGCCTAATCCGACCCAATGAACCTAACGGAAGTGTTCATCACCAGAGAGAGAGAGCGGGGAGCTAAAATGTTCAGAGCCTCACCTGGTCGTCGTCGCTAAAGACTTGCATTGCCTTCGGCTCGGGAGACGAGAAAGTTTCAGTAGTGCCCATCGTTGGTGACAATTCAGGACAGTCGACCTACTGACGTTCAGAAAAGCACAATGCATTGGCTGGGTCAGTAGTCATCGAGGATCATATTGACTGGCGAGAAACTGGTTGCAGGTACATGAAGCTGGGCTTTGGAGGCATGACTTGGGGAGCAGAGGGAGGATGGAGGGAAGGTGAGGGATGTTCTTGGGATGATCGGACCATCCTACAGCCCAAGGAGAATGCCGAAGGACGACGAAATTTTTGGCTGGAGTGCAATCTCGACCGTTCATCCAAAACTCGGAGCTTTTTGCTTTGCGCCAAAACCTTGCGGCTCCAGCTCCGGTTTCGCCTTTGTCACAGGTGGGGCCGCCTCGTGAGTTTCTTCCATGGGACATGCCCGTGGTGAGCAGCTGCTTCGGCATTCCGAACCTCTGTTTGTGAACCACCAAGCGTCCGCCTCACTGACTGAATGACGTGTCTCTCTCCAACCAAGCCTCGGGTTTGGCTCTGGTAAGGCTGGCTCAACATACAGACCTCGATGTCACCATGCATCCAAACTACGCTTCGAATTCTCAATTTGAATTGGTTTCGCCATGGATTCTTCCAGCAACCATAAGGAAGTGATATCTGGCCATCAGCTTCACCAATCTAACTTTCTAAAAACATGAACAGGCTATACTGAATGCTACCAGCCCTTACAAACAATAATTCAGCTTTTAGAATGATCTCAATAGAGTGTTCTCTTGTATCCATTCACATGATGCCGAGATCTCAACGGGATCTCAATAGTGCTGTTGCACCCGTCACATAGTAAAACGCAACTTTGCTACTCTTCTTGCATGAGGGATTTTTAATTGTCTAATAAATTATGCGTCACATGAATTTATAATACAATCACTCCAATCATAACTATTTTGAAGGAATGACATTAGCGGTAACTTTCTTTGGCCACTCACTGTACCAATGATACTCTGATCGTGAGTGTTTTATGAGACTATTCATGTGTTGTTGTTGCGAAACAGTTCAGAACTTCACCGCGTATGACATGGGGAAGGAGCAATTCACCAACCATCTCGACACAATCCCAAAGGTACCATGGCATGGCATGGCATCCCGTCTGCCTAACTTTACCTCAACCTCGAGATCATCCTGTACAGTGCTGATGCTTGAGGAGGAACATCGCAGGCAGTTCAGCGAACTACGGCGAGGCTGTAACTTTCCGCCACACCAGCCAAGAGAACCTCGCTGACCAGTAATTCATGAATGTGCTTGTTCTAGGGTTTTCTCCTCGCCTTACTCGGTGGTTGGTTTCATTCATGCTCCCTAATCTTATTACTTCATCCCTTTCCAAGATAGGAGCTGCTGAGCAGATCATGGTATGACACCCAACGTTGTGTTGTTGGCAGTTGTCCCTTTCCCATCATGGGGCTCCCAAGCCCAACTCACGTGATTGTTTCGCTTCTCAGATAGCTGTCTGCACGCATGGCCAAGCCGTGGGAAGCCGTGTGGCATTAAGCACCGCCAGATGCGAAAATGTCGGGGCTATCATCGGACCTATTGCTGGCGATTCCTCCCAGCACGGCGCAGGCGCTGATGGTGTCTTCGCCCAGCCGCTCGCCGCGTTCGGCGGCGGTTGGCTCCGCTGAAGTGAGTCCGCGAGGGAGGAGGCTCCGAGCGGCCGTCGACATCATCATCGCGCGAACCGTCGAATCCTTCTTCGACCTTCCGCCTTCCACCACGCTCTCGTCGCCGCACAAGGTCAGTCCCTTAACCGAGACAGCCTAGCAACCAGCATTTGCCGCTTTCCTCCGTCGCGCACAACGATTCTGCTACATTATGTGCGACGCCTTTGCGATTTTTCTTGGTTGATGCTCCTCTTGATGCTTCTAAAGACCAGCGCTTGACTCATCAGTCCCTTCCATCCCTTCCGTTTTGTTTCCGCTCGTTTTCCTCTCTCAACCTTCCCTTCTCTTTGTGTCTTCTTCATTCCCGCTCTGTGCCTTCTACTTCCTACCATCCCCGGCTTAGCCTCGTTCGCGTTCCGGATCACCCCAGCGTTCCCCGTCGCACAAGTACCAGCAGGAGAAGCAGCAGCCGCTGCAGCAACCGTCGCAGCAGCAACAGCACAAGGGGCAGGGCAGGCAACAGGAGAATTCCAGACCTTCTCAAGGGCACCGTGCGGGAGACCGAGCCTCAGTGGGAGCGAGGGGAGGAGAAGTGGCGGGTGGGGTAGCGAATGGCAGTTTCGGCAGCCCCACGAGCGGTGGCGGTGGGCGGATGACGCTGTTCGCAGGAGTTGCAGGGCGAGAGCCTGGCAGTGGCGAGGATGGCGAGGCGGAGACGCCCAAGCTTCTTGCCAAGTCACCAGGTCAGTGCTGCAACGGTCAGGTCCCTTGGTGGCTATAATGTCGTTCATTGAGAAATTCCGAATTATGAACTTGAGATTCTGTTTACCCTTCACAATCTCTGACTCTGCTCGGTACCCTGCCGCCTCCGCCTGTGCTTGTTTGTTTGTTTGTTGCCAGGCCCTTTCTCTCCCCGAGGCCGCGCCCCGTCTTTCCCCATGGATGTCGACTTCCCAGCACTGCTTGTCTCTCGCCCACTCCAAGCCTCACCCACACGCGCCCGCTCTCCACCTCCCCCCCTCTCCTCCGGCTCCTCCTCCTTCTCCTCCGCCTCGTCCATCTCGTCCGCCTTCACCTTTTCCCCCGCCTCAACCCCGCCACCCACGCTCACCGCCCTGCCCTCGTCCATTGCCTCCTCCTCCTCCCCCTCGCCCTCCTCTTCTTCCTCCTCCTCTGGCACCGCAGCTGCACCTGCCGCGCCCCCCATGTCTCTCCACCAGCCCCTGTGTTTCCCCGGTGCCCAGCCCATGCACCCATCCGATGACGCGCCTTCCCTCGCGGCTGCCTTCGCTGCAGCCAAGTCCGCGCAGGCTGCGGCCTGCAAGTCCCCCGTCGCCTCCCCTCTCTCATCCCCCAGTCCCTCTCCCTGCCCCACACCGTCCCGCCGCCGCCTGCCGCCATTCCCGGAGCCGCCCATGGCGGCGTGTCTGTTCGACGCCATGGACAAGCTGCTCTCCGTGTCCACGGGTGCTGCGGAGCTCGCCGCCGCTCCTCCGCCCTCCCTTGCCTCGCTCGCCGCAGACGCTCCTGCGGCCGGCGCTCTGGGCCCTCTCTGGGCCTCAGGCTCGGGAGCAGGCCCTGGGAAGGGGCTGGCAGGAGGGGGGATGGTGGGGCTGGAAGGGCTCATGGGCGGCCTTGGCATGCTTGCTGCCGGCACTAGCACTGGCGCTGGCGCTGTCAGTGCGGGAGGCGGGGGTGGAAGCAAAGGGGCTGGCGGTGGCGGGCCCCAGCCGCGCACTTTGCTGGGCCTGGTGGACCCTCGTGAGGCGTCGACTGCAGTAGCGCCGTCTAAGAGCCGCAGGCAGCTGGAAGCGCTGAGGAAGGTGCGCCAGGGGGGGCGGGGCGGGCAGTTGGGGCTGGTGGCGGGCTCCGCCGGGGGCAACGGGGGAGGGCAGCTTGGACTCGTTACAAGCTCGTCAGGCGGGGCTGGTGGCGGCGCAGGGGGAGGGGGAGGGGGAGCGGGGCATTTGGGTCTTGTGTCCAGCCAAGCTAAGGGGGCCGCATCCGGTCAGCTGGGGCTCGTTTCTCGTTCCCTGGATGGCAGGGGTGCCTCTACCAAGGGGGCAGCAGGCGTGGGAAGAGGAGGGCAGCGGCAAGGGAAAGCAGGGGCGAGAGGCCATGGTTTGGGGCTGGAAGTGAGCGGGCAGCAGGGGCGGGATGGGAGCAGTGCGCGGGGTGGTAAGGTGGGTGAGCAGGAGAATGATGCAGAGGATGGGCTGGATGAGAAGGCAAGGCTTGAGAGGCAGAAGGAGAGGGAGCGGGAGGAGCATTCACGGCGGGTGGTGGAGGAGCATGGCAGAGCGGTGGCGGCGGCGGAGAGCATGTCTCAGGCGGACCGAGTCACCTTCGATGGGCCGCTCGTGGGAGGGCTGTCCGCGCCTCTGCAGCTGCCCAGCTTCTCGGGCGGAGGGCTGCCGTGGCGCCGCAACAAGGCGCCGCCCCCCTTCGCTGCGGGCGCGCATGTCGTGCAGGCCTTGCAGCAGGCGGAGCGGGATGGGGCGGATGGATCAGGGGATACTCGAACCAGTGAAGCTGCAGCAGTCGGGATTCGGACAGAAGCAGCAACATTAGGAGCAGAAGCTGCAGCGGCGCAAGTGAGAAGCAGAACGGGCTCAGGAAGCGAGCTATCGAATCCCCCTGCCGAGCAGCAACGGCTGGGTGTTGGTGGAGGGGCACAGCTGCCCACCTTGAGCCTTGCCGCTGCCTTCGGGGGGCTTGCCTCCGCATCTCAAGGGGCAGATTTGGGAGGAGGGATTTTTGACCTGAGCGCTGCCAGCGGGGGCGGTAGTGGCGGCGGCAATGAGGGTGCTGGTAGCAGTGGAGGTGGTGATGGCGGGTTTATGGGCGCGTTTGATTCCCTATTTAATGCTTCATCTTGTGGTGGCAGCGCTGGGGGCTTGCAGGTGCAGCCCCTTCAAACGTTCCAAGTTGAAACCATGGTGGATGAGCTGGAGGGGCCAGAAAGGGCGGAGATGGGGATCGTGAAGACTGCACATACAACGAAAGACGAGCGCAGGGAGAGGGAGCGGGAGGAGCATTCGCGGCGGGTGGTGGAGGAGCATGGCAGAGCGGTGGCGGCGGCGGAGAGCATGTCTCAGGCGGACCGAGTCACCTTCGATGGGCCACTCGTGGGAGGGCTGTCCGCGCCTCTGCAGCTGCCCAGCTTCTCGGGCGGAGGGCTGCCGTGGCGCCGCAACAAGGCGCCGCCCCCCTTTGCTGCGGGCGCGCATGTCGTGCAGGCCTTGCAGCAGGCGGAGCGGGACGGGCAGACGGCGGTGGTAGGTTTGGGTTCACAGGGGGGCATAGCAGGTGTGTGCTTGGATGGAGGAGAGGCAGCTGGCGCAACTGGCGGCGGTGGTGGTGGCAGAGGAGGGAAGATAAACGCCAGACGGGAAGGATTGCACATGGGGCTGGAGGAAGAGGGAGGGGCGGGTACTGTGGCTGCTGCTGCTGCCGCTGCTGGGGGGACAGGTGTAGGTGTTAGAGGTATTTCTGGTGGGCTGTCGCTAGCGGCGGCATGGAGTGCAGGGGTGGTGGGAGGGGGGGGCATGGAGCAGCAGCAAATGGTGCAGGTGGAGGAGAGTGAGTTGGGTGCTGGGTCTGGCCTCATGAGTGCCTTCGACTCGCTCTTCTCTGCTTCAGCTGGTGCTGCTACTCTGCCTCACTCACACCAGCCTCTTGGGAGTTTTGGCTTGGGTGGTATCACATTGGGCTCCCTGCCTTCATTGCAGCTGCAGCAGCAGCAGCAGCATCCACAGCAGCAACCGCTACGTTCGAAGCAGATAACTCAGGTGCAGAGAAGGAGCAGGGATGAGGAGGAGGAGGAGGAGGAGGAGGAGGAGGAAGAAGGCGGTGAGAGTGAGCGCAGGGAGAGGGAGCGGGAGGAGCATTCGCGGCGGGTGGTGGAGGAGCATGGCAGAGCGGTGGCGGCAGCGGAGAGCATGTCTCAGGCGGACCGAGTCATCTTTGATGGTCCGCTCGTGGGAGGGCTGTCCGCGCCTCTGCAGCTGCCCAGCTTCTCGGGCGGAGGGCTGCCATGGCGCCGCAACAAGGCGCCGCCCCCCTTTGCTGCGGGCGCGCATGTCGTGCAGGCCTTGCAGCAGGCAGAGCGGGATGGGCAGAGTGCGGTGGTAGGTTCTGCAGCACAGGAAGGAGGGGCAAGTGGGGCAACTGGTGGCTGTGGTAGTGGCAGAGGCGAGATTGGTGCCGGAAGTGAAGGATTGCAAGTGGGGCTGGAGGAAGAGGGAGGGGCAGAGACACTAGTGGCAGGGGCGGGTGTTAGAGGTATGTCTGGTGGGCTGTCGTTAGCGGCGTGGAGTGCAGGGGCGGTGGAAGCAGGGGGCATGGAGCAGCAGGAAACGGTGCAGGTGGAGGAGAGTGAGTTGAATGCTGGGTCTGGCCTCATGAGTGCCTTCGACTCGCTCTTCTCTGCTTCCGCTGGTGCTGCTACTCTGCCTCACTCACAGCAGCCTCTTGGGAGTTTTGGCTTGGGTGGTATCACATTGGGCTCCCTGCCTTCATTGCAGCAGCAGCAGCAGCATCCACAGCAGCAGCAGCATCCACAGCAGCAGCAGCAGCAGCCACAGCAGCAACCTCAACGTTCTATGCAGGTTGCTCAGGTGCAGAGGGGGAGCAGGAATGAGGAGGAGGAAGAGGAGGAAGAAGAAGAAGGCGGTGAGAATGAGCGCAGGGAGAGGGAGCGGGAGGAGCATTCGCGGCGGGTGGTGGAGGAGCATGGCAGAGCGGTGGCGGCAGCGGAGAGCATGTCTCAGGCGGACCGAGTCACCTTCGATGGGCCGCTCGTGGGAGGGCTGTCCGCGCCTCTGCAGCTGCCCAGCTTCTCGGGCGGAGGGCTGCCGTGGCGCCGCAACAAGGCGCCGCCCCCCTTTGCTGCGGGCGCGCATGTCGTGCAGGCCTTGCAGCAGGCAGAGCGGGATGGGCAGAGTGCGGTGGTAGGTTCTGCGGCACAGGAAGGAGGGGCAAGTGGGGCAACTGGTGGCGGTGGTGGTGGCAGAGGGGAGATTGGTGCCGGAAGTGAAGGATTGCAAGTGGGGCTGGAGGAAGAGGGAGGGGCAGGGACACTAGTGGCAGGGGCGGGTGTTAGAGGTATGTCTGGTGGGCTGTCGTTAGCGGCGTGGAGTGCAGGGGCGGTGGAAGCAGGGGGCATGGAGCAGCAGGAAACGGTGCAGGTAGAGGAGAGTGAGTTGAATGCTGGGTCTGGCCTCATGAGTGCCTTCGACTCGCTCTTCTCTGCTTCCGCTGGTGCTGCTACTCTGCCTCACTCACAGCAGCCTCTTGGGAGTTTTGGCTTGGGTGGTATCACATTGGGCTCCCTGCCTTCATTGCAGCAGCAGCAGCAGCAGCATCCACAGCAGCAGCAGCAGCCACAGCAGCAACCTCAACGTTCTATGCAGGTTGCTCAGGTGCAGAGGGGGAGCAGGAATGAGGAGGAGGAAGAGGAGGAAGAAGAAGAAGGCGGTGAGAATGAGCGCAGGGAGAGGGAGCGGGAGGAGCATTCGCGGCGGGTAGTGGAGGAGCATGGCAGAGCGGTGGCGGCGGCGGAGAGCATGTCTCAGGCGGACCGAGTCACCTTCGATGGGCCACTCGTGGGAGGGCTGTCCGCGCCTCTGCAGCTGCCCAGCTTCTCGGGCGGAGGGCTGCCGTGGCGCCGCAACAAGGCGCCGCCCCCCTTTGCTGCGGGCGCGCATGTCGTGCAGGCCTTGCAGCAGGCGGAGCGGGACGGGCAGACGGCTGTGGAGGGGGGCAGCAGCGAGGGCATCAAGAGTTCAAGCAGTCACACGAGAACGGAGCCGTCAGGAGCGCACAATGTGCTGTCGCCCCCAGGTGCCAGGGCAGCTGAGACAGGGCACTCAGGCACAGCAGCTGTCACGTCACCTCCTCTCAGCCTGGCTGCTGCGTTCGGAGGGCTGGCAGGGCTGTCCTCAGGAGCAGGCGGGGAGGGGGAGGGCGTGCGAGGCAGCATGGCGAGGGCACCTGGGGGGGGCATGAGCGGAGGTGGTGGTGGTGGGCCTGCTGGGGGAGGACTCGGGCTCATGGGCGCGTTTGACTCGCTGCTCTCTGCGTCCTCAGGGGGGCCAGCTGCTGTGAGCGGGCAGCATAGCATGGCAGCGGGCCAGGCTCAGCCTGGCACGCTCTCGCCTGTTCCCGTCCATGCGCCCACTGTGTCTACCTCCTCACCTATCCCCCACTCCACAGCCCATTCCACCACTCCATCCCTCCCGCCCGCGCCCATCCTCTCTCCCTTCTCCAACCAGCCAGCGGCCAGGGACTCCCTGGAGGCCATCTTCCAGGTGTCCAAGCTTCACGGGGGCGTCTCGCCCTCTGTGGATAACCGCCACCTGCTCGCCTTCCCGTCGCCGCGCATCCACACCCCCTCACTCCTCTCTGGAGCCCCCGCACACGCTGGACCAGACCCGGGCAGCGCCATACACGGCGCTGCAAGGCTGGGAGCAGGCGTGCCTCCGCTGATCCTTACTCCCTTCTCCAATGCGCCAGCATCGGCCAACTCCCTGGAAGCGCTCTTCCAGGTGTCGAAGCTGCATGGAGGGATCTCGCCCTCCATGGATAATCGCAACCTCGCATCCTTCCCCTCGCCCCCCCTCCACAAGCAACAACACCCACACCCAACTGCCGCTGCTTACAAGACCCCCCCAGGGGGTGCAGCGAGGAGCCTTGGCCTCCAGTCCACAGCTCAATCTGTGTTTCCACGCTCCACGTCTGCCCCCCCCGCCCACCCTGCCATTGACGCTGCTGCTGACGTGGCGTTGCAGGGGCTGCCCCTGCGCAGAACAGGCTCCGCTGAGCTGCAGCCACTCTCCCCACGCTCAGCTGAGGCCGCTGTGAAAGCTCCTTCTGCAGTTGCTGCTTCTGCCCCGACCGCTTCTGCTCTTGCTGCTCCCTTGGATAGGGTGTCTGCCTCCTCTTCCCCTGCATCCTTGTCTGTGTGCACTGTCCCCATCTCCTCATCGGCACCATTGGCAGCAACAGCAACAGCAACAGCAGAATTGACAGAAGCAGCTGCAGGAGCAGAGTCAGAGCCCTTGTCATCCCTGGCAGCCAAGTTTGCATCGTTGCTTCTAGCTGGGTCAGGGCCAGGCCTTCCGCTCGACCCCAACCCATCCCCCCATGCCCGCTTCGCCATGCAAACTGGCTTCCCCCTCTCTCCTCACCTCCCCTCAACCTCCCCCCGTCTGTCCACACCAGCAGCCAGAACCCCTAGTCCGCAGCTAGCCCTCAGTCCGAAGATGGCTCTGGCAACTTTGGTGGGGCACCTGGGTCCAGTAAGCCCTCTTTGCGTTCCCTCCCCTGCCGCTCGCCCCGCCCCTGCTCTTCACCCCTCTCCGCCTGCCTCTCCTCTCGAAAAGCTCTTCAATTTATCCAAGGGCGCGGGCGCCGTGCCTCTGTCCCCTACGCTGAGCCCCAGTGCGTCCCGCCCGAAGACCCTTCTAGGCCTTGTTCATCCACGGAAGTCCCCTTGCCCCTCCTCTTCCATCTCCTCTTCTCCCTTCTCCCCTGCCGTCTTCCCTTCGGCATGTGGCTCTGGAAGCAGGGATGTCAGTGAGGCTGGCAACAGGCCAGGGGGGAGTGGAGGGAAGAGCAGCAGTGCGAGGGCAGCCGCTGTGGCAGGCGAGGGTGCTGCTGGCGCTACCACCTCAGAAGGAAACGGTGCCATGAGAGGGTCTGCTCTGAGACCCAGGCAAAAGGGCGGCAGCCAGAAGCAGCAGCAGCAGCAGCAGCAGCAGCAGCAGGTGGCGCAGGTGGAGCAGTCGTCAGAGGTGTACAGGCACGAGTGTGTGGGGCTCACTGACTTGGGGCCGCTAGGGGGAGGCGGGCAGGAGGAGAGGCAGTTCCAGCTAGCGCTCCCCAACTTCAAGCAGAACGGGCCGGGCTTCCTCAGGCGCGGCCCACGGGACACGGGCAGCAGTGCTCCCGCGGCAAACTCTGGTGCTGCTTCCTCCGCCACCCCCCTTGCCTCGTCACACCCCGCGTTGCAACGAGGAGAGGACAGGGAAGGGGGGAGCGAGGGCGAGGGTGGAGGCGAGGGGGAGGGTGACCTTTCTGAGTTGTGGATGCGAGCGCCCACTCTGGCGCCCGAGAACTGGGACATTGACAGCGACCCAGGTGCAGGGGCATGTGCGAGTGGGGCAGGTACAGGCGACTGGGGCAGCAGCGGTAAGCTGGACAAAGTTGTGGAGGAGGGGCGAGAGAAGGAGGAGGATGGGGATGAGGAGGGACGGGGAAGGCAGCTGCATGGGAAAGAGGAGGCGAAAGAGGAGGGTATGGGGGAAGGGGGTAAGGAGGATGGTGGAGAGGGCAAAGCGGAGGTGGATGTGGAGCGGATGATGGGCATGCTGCAGCAGCTGCAGACGCCGCTCGCCGACGTGAGGGCAGCGCTCGTGGCGGGGGGGAGAGGTGCGGAGGAGTTTGAGGCTGCTGCACGCGTTCTAGAGGCGGACTTGAGAAGGTTCCTGGAAGCGAGACAGCACACGAAGGACAAGGCAGATGGTGGAGTGAAAGGGTTGGGGGTTTCTAGGGAAGGGAACGGTGCTGGGATGGTGGAGCCTGAGAGCAATAGCGGAGGGGCAGGGGAGGATGCGGTGGAGAAGGAGGTCGAGGCGGTGGTGGCTCCGCCTGTGTTGGGGGGGGAGAGCAGGCAGGGGCAGCAGCAGCGGAGCAGACCTATTGGCGAGGGTGGCTCAGAGGGGGGTAGAGTAGCAGCTGATCCAAGCAAGAGCAGTGGTGCCAGTATTGCTGCACAAACAGCTGGGAACGGCAGAGGAGGAGGAAGCGAGGTCGTGGGAGTTGGAGAAAGGAGGAGGAAGGAGGATACCAAAAGTCATGCAGATGAGGTATTTGATGTGTCAAAACATGACCTACTTGTGCGAGGCAAGCAGGGCAAGCAGCAGGGGAAACAGCAGGGGAAACAGCAGGGGAAGAAGGGGAAGGAGGCGGGCGTGGTGGCAGATACGGCATCAGGTGTGGCTCCAGCAGAGCTGGAGGCGGCTCTGAAGCGCGAGCTCCAAGCGCAGGCCAAGGGACAACCCGAACCAGGCGAGGTGGATGCATCAGATGCAGCAACCCAGGCACGAAGCCTCAAGGGGGGGGTGGGCAGAGCAGGGCCGGGGAGGAGAGGCGAGGCAGTGGAGGTGCCAGTGGTGGGGGGCAAGGTGGTGCTGAGCGGCAAGATACTCGTGGGGCAGCACATCCAGTTCTCTGGCACCTGGTCCCCACTCGGTCTGCCCCAGTCCGCATCGCTCTCCTCCACTGCTGATTCCGCCTCGCCCGGTCCAGAGGACATTGGGTCTGGCGCCCATGCTGCCGCTCAAGGAGGTGCAGAGTCGCCAGTAGGAGGGGGCGATGGGCAGCAGGACGTGCAGCAGCAGCAGCAGCAGCAGCAGCGGCGGCGGCGGCACAGGCAGCGGACGTTGCGCAAGCAGGATAGGAGCGTGTCGGGGGGAGGGCTGGGTGGGGGGCGGGGGCTGGAGGGCAGGGCGGCAGACATGGGACGGGAGGAGGAGGCTCAGTTAGAGAGCCTGAGCGAGGCGGAGGTGGAGAGGGATAGGCGGAGGAGGAGCGGGCGCATGGTGAGCAGCATCAGCGTGGGGGGGATGGGTGGGAACCGGCAGGGCACTCCAGGCAGCAGCACGGGGAGCGGGCGGGTGAGGAGGAAGAAAGACAAGTCTGGTGCCGCAGAGACTGGTGTTCTGGATTGGACTCAGCAGGATGCGAGAGATAGTGCAAGGGGTGGCCCTAGGGACAGTGTTAAGGACGCAGGAAGGGAGGGGTCGAAGGAGAGTGGTCGGCGGAAGAAAGTGAGTGGGAAGGACGAGAAGGGCAGCAAGGAAGGGCGAGGGCAGGAATGGAGTGGGAAGGAAGGGAAGGGAGCGGGTGAGGAGATGCAACCAGACAGTGGCTTGTCAGGGGGGAGGGCAGAGGAGAAGGCAGGGGAGCGTGCAAAGGAAAAGGCAGGGGAAAAGGCAGGGGAGAAGGCAGGGGGCGAGGGTGCGGATGATGGGGAGGAGGTGTTCTATGATGCGAGGGAGGTGGTGAGCTCGCCCGCCTCAGAGGACGACAGAGGCAGCCACCGCTCCCACAGGCACGCCCCAGCGAGAATGGCCTCTCCTAGCGCTCCCTCCGCTGCTGCTGTGGATGCCACCGCGCCCGGTGTGGGCATTGCGGAGGAGAAGGGGGCAGCGAGGCACGGGAAGGAGGGAAAGAGTGGTTCAGGTTCAGGTGTTGCAAGGACGCGTTCCGCGGTGAAGGGGAAGGGTGGGAGCGGCAGCAGCATTGGAAGGAGAAAGGAGTCAAAGGCAGGGGAGGAGAAGGGAGCAGCTAGGGAGCTGAAAGGTGCTGGCAGTGGTGAAGGCGCAGCAGGGGGAGGGGAGAGCTGGTCAGCGCAGGGTGATACGAAGGGTGGCAGTCAGTCCAGCGGTGCTGGCCGCTCAGATGAGGCAGGGAAGAGCGGGCAGCATGCAGACAAGGGTGGCGGGAAACGCGGTTCAGGGGACAGCCCAAGAGGTGGGAGGAAGGAGAAGGAACCAGAGGCTGTTGGTGAGCGACGCAAGCCCAAGAGCAAAGGCAGCAAGAAAGGAGGGGCAGGGGGGCGCACAGCGGCAGGGGCATCGTCATTAGGGAAGGCAGATACGGGGGCCAGTCCCACAGTTTCCTCGCCAGCCTCGTCCTCCACGTCCTCCCTCTCACTCGCGCGTCCAGACAGCAGTGGGCGGAGCAGCATGGGTGCGGGGCGTGGGGTGGCGTGTGCGTCCATCCGCCGCACGGTGTCGGACCTCACAGAGGAGATCAGCGCCCTCAAGGCCGCCACCCTCCTCATCGCCACCCCTGCTGCCGCCGCCGCCGCCGCTGCCGCTGCTGCTGCTGCGGCACCTGGCGCTTGTGATTCGGGTCCAGCGAGCAGCAGTGGGGAGGGTGATGGGTTGAGTGGTGGAGGCAGCGTCCAAGCATCGCAGCTGCCACAGCTGTTCACGCCTGCGTGCAGCACGGCAGCAGCGCGCAAGGCCCACCGCACGGCTGCTGCCATCTCGGCCCTGCGCGAGGCAGCTGGGCGGGAAGGCCCCCTGCCTGCTCTTGTCTGCGCTCCTCCCACTCTGCCCTGTGGGGACGCTCCCACACGAGAAGAAGCGTGGAGGCGGCTGGGCAGCAGGTGGAAGGGGCAGGACGACCTGGCAATCGGCACCGAGACAGCTTCTGCTTCCGCAGCTGGAGCTGTAGCAGGGGCCCCCCTGCCGTCCCCTGCGTCGCTGGTCCCACGCGCCGTGCCAGGCTTTGTGGCCATCGACCTGCCCCTTGCGGCGGGCCCCTTCTCGTCGGCGCCCCACAGCGCCACGGCCATCTGGCACATGCTGCAGCTCAACGCCGCGCCGCTGCTCTCCGGCCCGCCCACTGCCCTCGTGTCACAGTCGTGCTCGCTCTCCCCCCTGCACTCGTCGGGAATGGGCCTGGGGTGTGAGCCGCGGTGGGGGTCGGGCACGCTGAGGAGCAGCGTGGATGCGCTGCTGCAGCTGGGGCAGGACGGGGGCGACCTGGACTGGGCAACCGGCACCACTGGCTTAACTGGTGGGGGTAATGCAGCGGACGGGGCAGGTGCTGCTGGGGCGCCTCAGCTGAGCCCTTCCGTGCGCAGCCCGCAAGGAGGGGTGGCAGGGTGGCGGCGGCTGGTGGTGCCGATACACCAGGGGCTGGGGGACAAGGAGGACTACGAGGAGGGGCAGGTGTGCCCGCTCTCGCGCTCCAACAGCGCCAATGTTGAGGCGCTCCTCGCGGATGCACACACGGCCGCCGCTGCTGCTGCTGCTCTGTCTGCTGCCGCTGCTGCTGCTGGTGCTGTTGGTAGTGCGTTGGGTGGCACACAGGAGGGGCTGAATGCCGGTGCTGCTTCCCGTGAGGGCCAATCGAAGGAGTACGGCATGGGGTATGCAGACAGCACGAGTGGGAGAAAGGGCAGGGGAGGAGGAAAAGGAGGAGGTAGTGGTGGTGGGGCATCCAGGGGGAAGGGGAAGCGTAAGGAGATGGCTATAGCAGAGGAAGAGAGTGGGGCGGAGGAGAGCCTGCAGGAGAGTGCAGCGGACAGCGACAGCAGCCTGGTGTTGGCTGCGCCTGTTGCGGCGGGGTCAGCCGGGCCGACCAGCCGGCTGCGCCCCATGAAGACAGCCCCTGCGGGCGCGCTGGCGTCACTGGCCAGCTTCTTCTCCTCCAAGGCCAAGCACACCCGCTCTGGCAGCTCCGGAGGGGACGGCGGCTCTGCCCACAATGCGCGCGCTGCCACCCCTGCCAGCGGTGGGAGCAGTGGGGGCGGTGGCATGGCGAGAGAAGGAGTGGGCTCAGCAGGAGGCAGTGGGGGTGCGTGGAGTCCGGCAGAGGCGGCTGTCAGGTCCACACACCCTCACGCATACCCCCCTGCTGCTCAAGTCCTCACTCCTCTGCCCCTCGCACCTGGTGCCGATGCTGCTGCACTTTCCGTTTCTTCTCCTCCCAGCAAGACCCCCCCTCGTTCCCCTCCGCTGCTGTCAGCATCCACTTTGGCGCCCCCAGGGGCAGCTGGGCCTGCTACCAGCGTTGCCACTGCCTCTGCTGCAGGAGGCGCCAGTGGCTCGTATGGGGAAAGGCATGCTGTGGGAGCATCAAATGCAGGGGACAGCAGCGCAGGCGCTCATGACCCCTCCAGCATTGCTGCCGGCAGCCCCAGCATCTCCCTTTCGCGCGGCCTCTCCCCTCTCTCCCGCCCTGCCACTTATGCCTCTGCTGTTGCTGGTGCAGCTGCTGGGACGGCAGGAGCAGGAGCAGGGGCAGGAGGGGATGGCAACCGCAGTGCAGCAGGGTCGAGTCCTGAAGACGGGGCAGCAGCAGGGCAGCAAGCAGCACGGCCTGGCTCTTATGTGGCGGAGGAAGACTGGAGAGACGCGGGCAGCGGCAGCAACAGCAGCAGCCCGGTGCGTTCGATCCGGTCTTGCCAGTCGATGGGGAGTGAGGTGCACGTGCAGCAGATCATCCACCACCACCACCATCACCACCACCACCACCATGCCCTCCTCCCGTTCCGCCGCAAGAAGGGGCGCAAGCATGCAGGGACGGAGACAGTGACGACAACGGTGGAGGAGATGGGTGCGGAGGGGAGTGTGGGCAGCATGTCAGGGTCGCCGTCCAGCAGCAGCTTCGTGAGTGCGAGCAGCTTCAAGAGCCAGGGCAGTGTGGCGCAGATCATTCCGCACCAGAGGACCAACAGCAGCGGAGCCAGCAGCACGCGCGGCGCCTCGCCCGCCAGCAGCAGGGCCTCCACTGCTGCCGGTGCGGGTGGGGCTGCCGCTGCTGGCGCTGGCAGCAGCGGGCGGGGCGGCAGCAGTGGTGGTGGCAGCAACGGGGGGGGGTCACGGTCTGCAGTTCAGGAGGTGGGAGCATCGCTGTCGAGTGGAGGCGAGTCAGAGGCGGACAGCGACATGGACGTGATAGATGAGCAGGTGCGGGCACCCATTAGCAGGCATGGGCAGGTATGAGCACGCATGAGCAGATAGACGGCCAATTGATTCACTCTATACCTTGGACTCAGAACCATGTGGTCGTTCTTGGCCAGCATGGCACATGGCTAGTTGCTTCTCTCCCTCACCTTCCTGCTGTCTCCGATCCTCACACACCCATCCCCCACAGGCCCTTCTAGCAGCAGCCAAGCGCACAGCGGGCCTCACCTGCTGTGTGCGCCCCAGGGTGTTTGACTGATGCGGGCTTGCAGGGCAAAGGGTGCAGCCATGCCCCCATCGCAGGTCTGCAATTGCAGTTTAGGCTCGTCTTGTGATAGGGAGGCCAGTGAGCCTTGGTGGGGCGTATGGAAGTTGCTGCGTTTGGGCAAGGGGATTCAGTATATAGGAGTGGAGCATAAGGGTTGATGGCGAGGGTAATGGGTACTGCCATATTGACAATGAGAAGCCTCTACGTTTTCCTATCTATCGTATGGTACTATTTATGTAGCAACTGTGGGTAGATGCCTGCTTCTGGTAGTTTTTGGTAGTGCATGATTGAGCTTTCATATTCAAATGCCACAGCACCCTGTACTGATAGGAAGTTGAAACCAGGCCCCATGACAGGCTTTAGGTCACGCTGATTCATCAGTGTTGGTCTCAAAAAACACCCTGACCAGGCCCCGCGATTGGTTTTAGGGCACCTTGATTGCTCAGTGTCATGTTCCAAAAAAAAACTTTCCATCAGCCTCCTCAAGAAATTTTACGCTGATTCATCAGTGTTGCCACGCCAAAATTCGCTTTTCCATCAGGGTCGTGTACGAAAAAAACGCTGATTTTGCAGAGTGAATTCTATTTTGACGCGAGGCCAACACAAGAACGAAAGTGAAAACGAAAAACGGCAGTGATTGTATGGTGATGGCAGTCGTATATTGGTGGGCGAAAAATGTGACTGATCGGGAGCTATTTTCGGGCCACTCGTATGTGTTAACGTAGAAACGAATGATTACTAGAGGTGGAAACCTAGAACAAATACTAGTTGGTTGTACTCACTAGAAGCATACCTCAGTCTAGCCTATAACTTCTACATAGATAATATGTATAAGTTGACACACCCCCTAGGCTAGACAACGGGTGAAACTAAACAAGAAGCAAACAGCTCAGGGCGGCACTACTAGTCCAACCACTGAGGCAGGGGTCTGGAGACCAGTCAGCAAGAATACAACCAAAACTGAAGCAAGCCAGGGTGGCACTACTAGTCCAGCCACTGGAGGTAAGGCCACAAGGCCAGTCTGACAAGCATATATAATAGAGAGTACACAATCAGGATCCTAACAGGGGAGCACCTACAGGAACAAGACCAAGCTGTACACAGTGCCGCTGATGATCTTTAGGCGCAAGCGCCTTAGTAAAGATATCAGCTGTGTTGGCACCTGAGGCCAAGTGAACTACGCGGGCCTGGCGGCGCTGCTGTAGCTCGCGCAGGAGGAAGTACCGCAGCTGGATATGCTTCGCTCTGCCCTCAAGCCGAGGCTCCTGACACAGGAGTATCATGGCCCTGTTGTCAGCGTACAGGACCGGGGCAGAGCTAGGCCGCTCACCTAAGTCTGTGAGCAAGAAGGTCAGCCAGCGGAGCTCCTGTGCCGCCATGGCACCAGCGTAGATCTCAGCCTCACAGCTAGACTGAGCCACAGACGACGAGCGAGTGGATCTCCAAGAGATAGCACCCGAACCAAGGCTGAAACAGTAGCCCTGCGACGACCTGAGCGTCTCAGCGTCGTCTGCCCAAGAAGCGTCTGTGTGCCCAGTAAGGACCACTGGCCTGCGTCCTCCTAGCACTAACCCCATGCCTGATGTACTAGCAAGATAACGCAAAACCCTCTTAGCGGCAGACCAGTGCTGAGGTCGGTGTCTGCCTGTAGCCACAAAGCGAGCCAGGATGCTGAGAGGGTATGCGAGATCTGGGCGAGTGCAAGTCATCAGGTACATGAGGCAACCCACCAGCTCTGCGTAGGGGCCACTGGGCTCTACTGGCTCCTCAGGAACGGGAGCAGAGAGCCCATGGTCTACGGGTAGAGGTGTGGGCTGTGCAGAGGAGAACTGAAGACCGAACCTCTGAAGGACCTGGCGCACCAAGTGTGACTGGGTCAGAGTGATGGTGCGTGCTGCTCTGTCCCTAGAGATCTGCAGGCCAAGATAGCGACGCAGCTCTCCAAGGTCAGTGCAGGTGTGTCTCTTCAGCAGCTCAGCCTTCACAGAGGCCAGTGCGTCCCTGTCAGGAGTAGCGAAGACCAGGTCGTCTACGTAGACAAGGATGTAGAACGGAGTCTGGCCGGAACGCACAAACAGTGAAGGGTCAGCAAAGGACGGAAAAAACTGCAGGTCTGCTAACGTGGCACGTAGCGTGTCGTGCCACTCGCGGGGAGCCTGACGCAGGCCGTAGACCGGGCGCCTGAGAAGCCACTGGGTCCCAGGAGGGAAGGTACCAGTGAAGCCCTGTGGTCGGCGCAGGTAGACCTGCTCGTGTAGGCTGCCCTGAAGAAAGGCAGTAGAGAAGTCGAGGGAGTGAAGCTCGTAGTCACGCTGTGCTGCTACGTGTAGCAGCGCCCGAAGAGTGGTCATCTTCGGGGTCGGGACGAAGGTCTGGAAGAAGTCAACCCCCTCGCGCTGACTGAAACCTCTGGCCACGTAGCGCGCCTTGAAGACAGGCGGCTCTCCAGGGGGGCGCTTCACCTTGAAGAGCCACCGACCATCGACTACGTTCACCCCAGGCGGGGGAACTGCGTCGACGTAAGTGCCGGTGGATCTCCAAGATGCCATCTCCTGCTCCATGGCAGCTATCCACTGAGAGGCCCAAGGTCCCGAGGTGGCCTCAGCGTAGGTGCGAGGGGTCGGGATGTCGAAGGCGTCTGGGTCACCCTCAGGGACTAACAGCATGGAGCAGAGATGGGGAGCAGCCTCGGAAAGGAAAGCCAGCTCGTACTGCCTGTCCTCTAGGACGTCACTGCCAAGGGCAGGAGCACCCCCGACGGACAGAGGACGGGCAGGGTCAGAGACCAGAGCGGTAGCGTAGTCAAGGCGGCGGGTAGAGGCGAAGTCAGCGACAGCAGCGACAAGCGCGTCAAGGCGCGAGACAGGAACAGCAGGGTCGGTAACAAGAGAGGCAAGGACCCGAGGGACAAGGGGACGAGCAGCACGGAGGTAGTCAGAGAACGGAGGAGGTGCAACAGCAAGGGACGAGGGAGGAGGGGACGGGAGGAGGGGAGGACGAGACGAGTGGGAACGGAGCAACATAGGGTGGGTGGGCAGGACAGGAGAGACGGGACGAGCACGGGAGGGACGGCGAGCCCAAACGTGAGACGGAGGGGTAGGGTCAGGGGACAGCGGAGGAGACACAGGAGGGGAACGAGGAGGAAGACGGGCCGGAGACGAGTCTGGCGGCGGGAACACAGGACCGTAGACAGGAAGGTCAGGAGGCGGTGGGGGAGACACCGGCGCGCGGTCCGGGGAGGGAAGGCCGAGCAGGCGGAGAGCGGAAACCGGCGGCGACGGCTGCTGCGGCGGCGACGACGGCTGGGCCGGAACTCTCGGACCAGCAGAGGCAGAACGACCGTCGGCAGAACACTCAACAGCAGCACCCCCAGAACCAACACCCCCAGAGCGAGAACCCCCTCCAACACCAGCGGCACCCCCAGAAGCCGCAGGACGAACACCCTCCTCCACACCAGCACCCCCAGGGGCCGAGAGCAGCGGCGGCAGTGGCGGCAACGGCTGCGGCGGCGGCGACAGCGGCGACGGCGGCGACGGCTGCGGCGGCGACGGCGACGGCGGCGGCAGCGGGGTCGGCGACTGCGACAGTGGGGGCGGAGGCACCGGGGAAGGGGGACGCTGCAAGGACGGACCGGGGGTACCACCAGAGTCAGCAGACTCCTCAACGGGGACAACCGACGGGAGGGGAGTGACGTGGGAGACACCAGACGGGGCAGGACGAGGCGGGAGAGGGGCAGGGGCTACCGGGGGAGAGGGAGCAAGGAAAAGGGGGGGGGCAACTGGGAGACCTCGGTGAGGGAAGCGGCGGTAGAAGGAGACGGACTCGTCAAAGGTGACGTCACGAGAGTGGAGGAAGCGGTGAGACGGCGGGTGGTAGAAAAGCCAGTCAGACGAGTCCAGGGGGAAACCGAGGAAGACACAGGGGACAGTGCGGGCAGTGAGCTTGTCCGTGCCAGAGGCACGAACGTGAGCAAGGCAGCCCCAGACGTGGAACGCAGACGCGTTACCGGGGGACCCGGTCCAAAGGAGGGTCGGCGAAACCTGCGGCCGCTGGGAGCGTGGCCACAGGTTAAGCTGGTGAGCCGCGTAGCGAACAGCGAACGGCCACAGAAAATGGGGGGCATCGGCATGGATCATGGAGGTACGGGCGACCTCCATGACCAAGCCGATGCGGCGCTCAGCAACCCCATTCTGCTGTGGCGAGTCCGGCAACGTGTACGACTGGGTGATGCCCTCCGCACGACAGAACTGTCCAAGCCGACCAGAGGCGAACTCGCCGCCACGGTCGGAGTGGAGACACAACACGGGGAGACCGCGGTGGAGACGCGCAGCCACAACCCACGGGAGAAGAACGTCGGGCACGTCGGCCTTCCGCTCCAGGGGAAACACCGTGGTGTAGCGCGTGTAGTCGTCGACGAGCACAAGGAAGTAGCGCTCACCGCGCGGTCCGGGGACGGGGGCAGGGCCCCAAACGTCCAAGTGCAGGGTCTGAAGGGGGGCAGTAGCAGGACGCAGCGAGGAGGAGTGAGGAGCACGGCGGAGCCGACCCTCGATGCAAGGCGTGCACGGTGGCGCAGTCGAGGGAGGAAGGGCAGGGAGCGACGCGGGGAGACCTAAGACAAGACCGTGCTGGGACATGTGACGCAGACGCGGGAGAGCAGGGTGACCTAAGCGGTGGTGCCAGAGAAGGGAGGGGTGAGTGAGGGACCGACACGAGCAAGCTGCAGCGACCTGGGAGGACGCACCAACCGGGGGGGAAGCGGTGTGTAGGGTAAACAGACCGGACACCGGGTCCCGGGGGAACGTCGCAAGGGGGGAACCTGAGACAGCCTCAGAACAGACAGAGAACCGCTCGTGCCCGGGGAACGTGGTGGTGACGCCGAGGTCCTGGAGACAGCCGACACCAACCAGGTTCCTGGAGAACGAGGGAACGTGGAGGCCAGTAAGGGAGCCCGAGGGAACTGCCGGACAAGGAAGGGACGTAGAACTGCGCGCGACGACCGGACCCGCAGAGGGGTCAGCGAGAGAGACAACAGCAGGTGCAGCAAGCGGCGTGAGCGTGGAACGGTCGTGGAAGAAGCAGGCAGAAGCACCAGAGTCGAGAGTGAAGGACAGCGACGCAGTGGCGGAGGCCGGGGACGGAGCCGGTGCAGCGACTAGACTAGGCAACCTAGGCAGTCCTACGCCTGTCGCAGCAGGGGAAGCTAAGCTACACAAGGGTGAAACACCTAAACTAGAGTACACAGGGTAGTAAGATCCAGCAACACTAGAAGCGTCAGCATACATAGCATGCAAAGCAGCACCTATCTGATCCATGTCTAACTCAAAGATC